AAGACGCTGAGAGGAGACGTAACACTTGTTCACAGAAAATGGTCGGGCAAATTTTATAGCTTCAGAAAACAGGTGAGGAGTTTATTCAAGATTTGCCTTTCTGATGCAGTCAATGACCTTCGACCGGTCTCTGTTAGTCCTAAAGTTTTTGTGCGAGAGTTCAGAGGAAGACGAAGTCAGAGTAATGGCGGAATGAGGCTTTCGATTGTAAGTGGGAGGGTGAGTCGTGTAAGGTAGGAGGCGGGGAATTGGGGGGCGAGGGGGGTGGGTGAAATGTGTGGTGTCAAAGGCCGTGGTCAGGGTTTTCGTATTTTATTTTGCTGTCTATAATATGGGAGATCCGGTAAGGGACGGAAGCGCTATTTTGGTGAGTATGATGGTTTGTCGTTACATTCTTATTGCGTGCCACTTAGTAACTTTTTATCGGAAAAATGAAGAGGAAAAGGATGTCGGTGAATAAAGTTTATAATGATTTAGGGGTGCGAAATATTTTCAAACAATTGCGTCCCAAGTAATGGGCGGAGTCGTCGTGGTTGTGTAAGGAAGTGGGCGTTGGAGGAGGGAGTCAATGTGCAAAGTGGAAGAGAATTCATTGTAGCAGATGTATACGTGTTATTTAGGAGAATTGTAGAAAACTAGTGTAAATAAAAATGATTTAGTTTTAAGTGTTCAATCTAAGTTCGCTAAGGAGGGGACGTGGCCATCTGGGGCGGAGCCTAGCATGAGGACTTTCAATTTGGAGGAAATGGAGTGAAATAGAAAATAGATGAAAATTAAAAATTAAACACTTGTTGATAATAAAATATGTGGTTTACATTGATTAGCTGGCTGCCCTGTATTTCAATTTCGAATTAGCTGATATCGAGGGGGTAAAAGCATCTTGTAGGAGAGTTGCAGCGAGTTGTTGTGCTGTTGTGTACGTAACCTAATGACCCAATACCCCATTACAAACATTCGACCATATTAAGGACGTGTCCTGGAACACCTACACACATAAAACTGGAATATCGTTGCTCGTACAACATCAAAAATCTATGCGCTGAGGGCGGATACGGTTATCGAGACGAGTAGGCTGTTTGGCTTAGGGAGGGGGGGGGGGGAAGAGGAAGATTGCTAGTTTCTTTTGTTAGTTCCTGTTGACTTACACGTCTCGCCTTGGTGATACCTCTTGTCAAAGGTAGGCCACGTTCGTATTAGCATAGCTTTACAAGAGTTTATACAGGAGGCATCTGCAGTGATCGATGGGAACTGGCGAAATGCCCACGCAAAGCCGAACTGCACCCGAGACGAGTTACCGTCCGCCGGTGGACTGATTCACGATGTTCACAGATGATCTCTTCACGTCATGTATCAAGAGTAGTTCGTCGTCATTGCTGCGACCGCCATTAATCTCATGGATAGGGGGGTGGCATTTATTAACGTCTGTTGTGAGCCATGCAGTCGTTGTATGTCAGCAATTGCACGAGTGTTTGAAAGGATATATCGTTGCTACAATGAGTTAGACTGAGACTGAGAGATGATATTGAGTCAACAATTTTTTCTCACTTCTCATCCTTTTATTGCTTTAGTGGGGTGAACCATTGTGATGAGGAGAGATCATTCAATCTGTCTGCCATTGCCCCGAATACAACCCTCCCAACCCCGCGTTTAACTTGATCCCCTTCCACTACCACCTCCAGAACGGGACTTTGCTGAGGAAGGTCACAGGTACATAAGTATAGAAAACGGGGAGCAATCCTCTGTATCTCAAGGTTTCCGCTGCCTTTAGCAAGCATGAGACGTTATCTGCGGACTTACGGGCTGACGATGACGCTTCTAGCCTTTGCGCCAGAATCCGCCTAAAAGGAGGGGCTGCAGGACAGCGATGGCTTTCAGTGGCCTCTGTGGGAAGCGTTAAGCAGACGAGCTTGGAGCAGGGTACCTCACCACGATTGTGTGAAATGGCAATGTCAGTGCGTCCCCCCCCCCAAATTTTCTTCTCTGTGCGATCCTTTTCTATCCTATCTAGCATCTTCCTTCCCCGAGTTGTTCTCTTCTTTCTACCACTTTCTCCCTGTTTTCTAAGAATTTTTTTTCGGCTTCTCACTAGGAACTGTGTTGAGTGGGTCCGGGGGTGGGGGGTGAAGAAGGTATATAGTACACATAAAACAGGAAAAATCACTAAAAGTCAGGTAACCTCCTTCACCAAGGGAAATGCGACTCCCCTCCCAACAACGAATTACGAGCCCCTTTAAAAATGTCACTGTAAACAAGAAAAATCACGAAAAAAGACAAGGAAAAAATTAATTTTGCTTAGCCCAAATACGAGCCGGCGCTCTCCCAGCTACCAAACACGACCTCCCTGTTTGTGACTTCCCAACAACGATGTGCTCAGGTGGAAGCTCCCGGCGCCGGAAACCACGCCTCAGGCTTTATATACTGAATATGAAACGAGGAAAACCGATAAAAGTCAACAATCGAAAAAAATGTTTCTCGCTGCTCGGAGAAACTTCTTCTCGAAGGCGAAATGCGACCCCCTCACTCTCATCAACGACCTGGGCACGACCCCTTCCACCCCCTCCCTCCCCCTTCCTTCTGAGATGGGAAGATGTGAGAAATTAGTGAGAAAAATGCGCAGGCCATTCCTGGTTTTTTTTACGGAATCAATTAATTGATCAGTATAGAAGCTATTTACGGAAGTTGGAAGTTTTGTTTTGTAATAGTTGAGGCGGACGCTGTTTGGCTTGATGGGGCGTGTTGCACTTTTGCTAGTTTCTTTTGCTGGTTCAATTTATTAACAAGTTACACTTTGCTGAGACGTGTGAACTCCTGTGAAGCTATGGACCAGTATGAGTGAGCTACTTGGGCCACAGGACCTTACAAGGGTGCTCGAACCAGCTCCGCTATGTATCGTTCGGTGCCCCCCCCCCACCGAGCGTAACTCTCCTCGAGAGATAGTGCTAGTGAAGGTATCAAGCGGTAACATTGACAAAAAGTGATAAAAATAATAACATCTGAAAAATGACGTGAGAAGTAGCGAAGAATCCGTTCGGTTTCGTTGGCGACGACTGTGAAAGAGGGCGGAGCGTTTTCGGATCATGACAATGAACTAAGAGTTCCGCATGTGATGAATCGCAATCATATATCACACCGACGGTTTGGCTCGTTTGGCCAAGTTTCTTTCTCTTCTAGGGTTCACTAATTCATCTGGTCCATGATCAAAAAGCAAAGGCCGAGTAGTTAGCGGGGTGGGGGGAATTGTTCGGGAACTATAGGGTAGGGCACGTCGTACGTCAGGGATTCTCTGTGAGGGGATCGTGTTGACTTTCCTCGGTTTTCCTGTTTCAAATGCGCGATAAATCCGTCCTCCTCCCCTAGAGGAGCAATTTCTGGGGAGAGTTGCAGAGTTTTTGGAAACAAAAAGCTCGGAAAAGTGGTGGGATAGGAATCGGGGAAATTCAGATGGGGAAGTGGGACGGGTTACTACATAGTCACTATTTCTTATACTAGGTTCATTTAATTGCCTGGAGAGGGCTAGAGCTAGGTGTGGGAGGGGTGCTCCCCTCAACCCCCCTCTCCCACCGCTAGCTCTGGCCTGTTGTCTGGAAAATGAGTAGAAAGTTGGGTGACTATGGTGAAGTTTATCACTTTGTGGACAGCTGTTTTGCGAGGATCTCCGTCTCATTTCGCTACTTTTTACATCAGTGATCAGTAACTTCATCAGTGTTTTTTTCCGCTGTTTTATGAGATCTGGGTAGTCCACGTTCAAACGCGTGTTCAACCAGATGCCATATGAAAGAAAGATAGATAAAAGACAGATAGGAAAAGTTGTGACACACCGTGTGTGTCACGTGGTCTGTAACGTGTTAGGTAGGTTGAGGGACAATAAGCCCCCCCCCCTGCCCCTCCTACTCCCCCCTCCCGCCCACCCGAGGGTTCGACTGTAAAATCGTTGCGAGTGGGAACCCTACACAGGGAGAAATTTAGGGTCTATTTATTAACACATTGGAATCACAAGAGCAACGGCGAACGACAGTTCCGACAAAAATACGATGAATAATTTATTTTAAAAATTATCACAATAAATTTCTTAGGCAGTAGTAGCTACTGTCCCAATCTGAGGGCAAGAAGAGGCGTTCTCAAGCGAGCGCAGCGGCGGTTGTGAGGGTGTAGACCAGGGCACATCGTTGTTGGCGATTCCCCAACAAGGGGGGGGGGTCGTATTTAGTCGGTGGGCGAGGGGGTCGTATTTGGACTGAGAAAAATTCATTTTGATAGTTGATTTTTCTTGTTTCACGTTGTAAAGGGGGAGGTCGTATTTGTTCGTTGTTGGGAGGGGGGGTCGTATTTCCCTACTGACTTTCTGAAGAAGGTTACCTGAATTTTTGTGATTCCTTCCGTTTCATGTGTACTATAACCCCCCCCCCCCGTTCCCCTCCTTCCCTCCACCCCGCTCGACAGCAAAATTTTTGGGTAAATGTAGGAGAATTTGTGGGGAAATTCCGCAAAAAGAGGTAGGAAGTTTGGGAACATCTGAGAAATGTAGAAGGGGGAGGGGTCGTCTTTTCTCCGCAACTTTTCCCCCGTTTCACGTGTGCAATTTACCCCCCTACCTACCCAACATCTGCAACCAATGATGTGCCCCGGTGTAGATGGCAAAGAGAAGACGTCTGTGTAAGAAGAGCGAGGGGAAAATACAAAGCCACCGTTGGTCTTGCAACTACGTACTTGGAAACACCCCTTTCTGCCTTCTGATATGGACTGCGTTTACCCTTCACGTCCCTCGGAGAGACTGGGCGGGCGAGGAGCAGCACGCGCGCGGTCGCGAAGCGCGCTCATGGGATGGCTATCGGCGGCTTTGTGGGTTGTCCAATAACAGGTAAATCCTACTGGTCTACATGTTATTTTACGACTATTCTGGCCTTAATTCCTTAGCAATAGCACGGAACGCGCCACGACCGCGCTCACGTGGATCATCGCTTGCTCCGCCCCATTCGACTCTGGGATACGTAGGACGTGTTCTAGATTTTCTCCATACGCTCTTTGAGAATTTTCTCACGAAGTTGTTTGAGGTAGAGACTAGTCGGTGAAGGAACTGTCGGTGGTTCCTCTGTGTCCCTGAAAATTCATTTGAAAGGCTATTGATTAAGGGCGCAGTTCGGCTTGATGGGGTCATCAAATGGTGCTCAGCGGAGCTTGTACAGGCCATGTTGTGAAGACTTGTAAATTCCTGTGGCCAAAGCGGCTCACTTGCGCAATTTCACGGCTTCACAGAAGTTTACAGGTCTTACTGAGATGGGACGTGGAAATATGCCCCACCAAGCCGAATAACACGATATATAATACCACGGAAGCCCACCTATCGTCCTTCTTGGGCGAATGTTTGCCCACCGGTACGGCGGAGGAATTTTTTCTCAGAATCGTCTCCCTTGATGATGAGGTTCTGCTCTCGCTTGCTGATGACTCTTCAGTAGAAGTCGCCTGTGACTCGTCTGTCTCTTCGGACTCTTCTGATTCCTCACTGCTTTCCGAGGTTGTTCCAGCACTTTCAGATGTCGTGGAGGAGTCTGACGACGACGTCTTCTTCTCGAATTGTGTGGCTACTTCACGAGTCTGTTTTCAAGGGCACTTTGGGCGGCAGTTTTTGAGCTTCTCTAGGAGGCACCTTGCCATCTTTGGCCATCCGACACTTCAAGATAAACGCTCTTTTACGAGCAATTTCCTGCTTGACCAAGTTCGCGTCAAATCGTTCCACCAGTGCTGTTCGTTCGCCGATCATCTTGTCCAGAACTCTCAACTTTTGGAGACGAGGTACAAGGTTTTTACCTAAGATCCCGTTCAAAGCCTTTCCTCCCTCTTCTGGTTCTTTAATGATTGGCCTCCTTGCTTCTGTAGTTGGCTGCGGCTCAGCTTGATCCTTTGGCACTGGGAGGTGCAAAAACTGAGAAACGACGTTGGCTACTGTATCCTCGAGTTCAGATGCAGAAAGAAGGTGAAGCTCCGTGTTTGAGCCGGTCGTTGAGTAGCGCCGATGCACCTGAAAAGTACAATA